CATCTGCCAGTTCCTTTAGGACCCACGGACCTTTCTCGTCAGATCCCATGGACTTGTGCACCTTCAGGTTCTTTAGATGGTCTCGAACCTGATCTTCTCCTACAGCTGGCGGTTCTCAAATCCTGGCTCTGCTTTATACTGCATGAGAGCAGAAGCTGCCCCTGAGACCTCGGTGTGGAGGCAGCTTCCTTCAAAGCTGCAGACTTGGATAGTGCTGTCCAGGCTTGGAGCACCAGCAGAAAGGGTGTCCTTTGGCTGATATCTGTTACCCTTACAAGCGGCTTTGCTGATAGACTACAAGAGGACAATGCTGTAGACTGGGATGGTTTATTCCCCTGGTTGAATTAATTGCACTGCCTTGGGCTAGACACACAGGAGCAGGGATAAAAGAAAATATATTAAATTATGAAAAAGGAGGTGAAGTCAGAATTATTAGAGTTTTTATTGAAATTCTGTTTACAGTGCTTTAAGTGTTTTGCTTAGGGCAGTATTTACTAATATTTGTATTGCTTGCAGATTTTTCTTATGCTTTTCCCTTTACCATGGGTCAAGCAGTCCAGCACACTAGTGAAAGAGAATGAATACTGACTAGAGAAAAAATATTGTCAAAGACCATGAAGGGAAGAAAATTGCCAGTAGACTAGCAAACCAATCCAGCAAGGCAGGTGTCAATTTACTCTTAGTTGCATACTAGGTTATTACAAAAAATAAAATAGAAGATGAGGATGTTTAAGATTTGAATTACTGCACAGACGAGTCAACATGTTTGCAGCCAGACTAAAAGATCATTTCAGTTTTAGGAATGTAATCAATAGAGATTTATTTGTTCAAATGACAGAATGAGGGAAACTACAAGTTCTCATAGGTTTTTTTCTGATGCACACTTGCAAAAACAAGAGGTATTTTTTGAAGACCTCCTAAAAATCAGAATCTGGCAGTTTTAATAATGACCTTGAAATCAAAGCTTAGGCCTATGGCTAGTCACCCAAAAATAATGTGACACTGAAATGTTTTAAATCCATGATTGATTATGTAGTACAAAGGATCCTTAAAGTTTTTAGCATTCTTGTTTTTTACTAGAATTAGTGGGGTTGAAGGATATGAGATACTTATAGTGCCTTTTTATTATAGGTTTTTAAATTCAGAAGTGTCATACAGATTCTGTCACACAGGTTGTGAGTATAATCATAGGAGGAAAGAAGGAAAAACCTAATTATGAATGTGTATTTTTATTTGCAAATTTCTTACTATATAGCAACTTTTCCTTGTACGCCAGTCAGTTGCTCCTTATAAATCACAAAGAGCTTCAACCCTCAACTGCTCCAGGTGATAGGTATTAGTGCAACATGCAGGATTAATCGCTGGTTTATTTCATACCAAAAATCACAGTAATCAGCAAAGCTGTTCCCTGAAGAGTCCTTCACATGGGTGTAAGAGAACTTGTGCTTATTCCAAGACACTGAGTTTTATCTGTTTATCAGTAGAAATCCAATTTGAAAATACTAATTAGTTTTTAAATTAATAATGACCTTTAGACTGAGTGCTCAGATGAGATGCAAGTAGGAGTCAACAGAAAGTACAGCTCTACATCTGAACACCAGAGCAAAATGTTCATTAGCTCTGCAGTTCTTTACCTAATTATTTCTTCAGTATCTTTAGATCAAAAAATCTAAACCAGATATTTTCCTGAAGTTAAGTTTTACCAGGAAGACCTAAGCTTTACCAGCTATTATGATATTTGGACCAGGCCCTTTAAAATAATGGATTTAGCAAAGATCTTGGACTCAGCCCTTGGCCAAGGACTTCCAGTTCATTTCTACAAAGAGCACTTAGTTCATCATCCTACTAAAATGTTTTTTCTCTCTTGGATGTCTGGTTTTCTGAAAGTTACTATTTTATTATTTTCTTCCATGTGTTTTCAGCACGGGTGAGCAGCTGCCACCACATAGCTCAGTTTCCAGCGGGACCGATCCTGGCACCCCCTCTTTCTGCTTCCTGACTCCTTTCTCACAGCGGCAGGAGCATGGTCATAACTCTCCTGCTGCAGCTGCCCTATTGCAACCCTGTGGCAGCCGTTATCTTAAACCCATCATCTAGCAAAAGCTGGGTTAGAGCATCTTAGATCTTGCCCTTTGATTTCTTTTTGCATCTAAACCCCCATCAGCTAACCCAACCCAAGCCAACCCAAAACCAGACACAAAGCCAAAGCTGATGAGGTTTGAGGGTTGGCAGCTGATGGTTTTGTAGATCTTTCATTTTTTTCACTCTTTCATTTCCTTTTGAACAATGAGATAAATTTTGATCAGCTGTATTTTGAACATGCAGCATATTTGCCAGTAAATACTGATCCTATTTTATCTTCATACTTGCTATTGTAATATGTTTTCTGAATGTGTAAAGTTGCATTACAGTTTCCATACATTCATGTTGGTATTATATTGTATCATATTCCTGTTATCTTGTGTCTTTCTGTTCTTCTATTGCAAACAGTGTCACATTTAAAAAAAAAAAAAAGCTGTAGGTGGTAAAAATAATTAAGATTCAAATATATGAGTGCTTCTTAATATGATCTATTCATTACTTATTTCCACCAAATTTTGTATTTAACATTTGTTTCTTCGTAGAGGCAGCAAGAGAGCATTTGACTACATTAAAATGATAAAACCTGTACTCATAATGAATGCTGTATAAATTTTGACGACTGGCATAAGCTAAGGCTGGATGCAGTCAAGCAACTTAGGTGCTAATTTGCAGCCTGACAAGTTTTGACATGACAAGAGTCTAAATTCTGTTTGCTTTTATACAGATAACCTACTCGAGTCAATGGAGAAAGTGAGACAGATTTTTAACTTGACAACTTTTAACATCAATAAAATTCTCACACATGAGTTCTTACTCAACATGTTGTATTTCTAATGGATGCTCTTGTCATTGAATCCAATGGGCCTTGATTCAAGCAGTGTTCAATTTCTGTAAGAAGTGAAAAGCCAATGAAAAAAATGAAACTGTAGTAGGTTAAATATAATACTTGAACAGAAAATCTCTTTTTGGTAGAAGCCACAAGGAAAAAAAAAAAGTTTAAAATCATGCCATCTAATCTGAAAAAATTAAGTCTTGAATAGAGTTATCATCATCCTGTGATGATAATTTGACATCACTACAGGAGTGAATTAGAAGAAGTATTTAAGTGTTTCTTTTAACTACAGTGCTGAATTTTATGGGGGTTTGATATCTGATTTGAGGATAATTGCAACACCTATGAATACTTCTTCAATTTAAGTTAATGATGTGCTCTCATTTTTCATTGATTGTTTTATCCCTTCTGAGAACGTTAAAGGAGTTGTATTGAGGTATGTTGAGATTCATCGATGTCATTGACATCATTTTTTCAATATGCCTTGTCTGCATCTACTGTAAATGCTTTTAAATCATGTAAAAAAATGTTTAATTAAAATTTTTTTGGTTCCTTTTTCAAACTATAGTATTATTATCCCAGCTTTCCAAGTGTGGTCCTTGAAGCAGAGTTACAGAAGGAGTATGTGACCTGTTTTCCTCCTGTGGAGTGCAAAACTCAGTAAAAAAAGCAGTGTGATATGTATTATTTCATAGAAAAATTAAAATAAGACATCAGAATAATTCCAGAATTGCTACATGTTATTGCTGTTTTTCTTTCCTTTATAGCGTTACTATGTAGACCCTGTTTCTCCAGACAGTTTTGTTAAAACAGAAAAGCGGGACTGCAGCCCTGGGGCGATGCAGTGAGATCGGGTGAGAGCTGACAGCAAAGATTGCAATTCCAAATATGCACTCTCCCTTCCTCTTAGCAAATGTAGCCAGATGCTAGCAAGCCATTATTGCCAGTCCATCTCAAAGAAAAGAAATTTGTTTTGTTTCAGTTTGCTTTTGTTTCTCGCTCATTATTTATAACATTCGTTTGTCATTTTTGTCATTTTATAGAGCTTCCAAGAGCAGCTGTCAGGATCTTAAGCAACATGACATTCCTTTTTGTGAGTTTGTCATACACAGCTGAGAGTGCCATTGTCACAGCTTTTATTACCTTCATTCCCAAGTTCATCGAGTCACAGTTTGGCATCCCAGCTTCCAATGCCAGCATCTACACTGGTAAGGCATTGCCACGTAGTGTAACATTGAAAGGGTTGGCGTTCTTTGACTAATTAAATTAATCAATATAGGAATGAACCAAAAATGTGCTTGTTAGAACAGGTGATTGGATCCAGCTTTGTGTATTTGGTTAGATATTCAGGCTGTTCTTTGATGTTTGCTGTATGTGTTTAGTAAAACGTGAACTCATTTGTATTGTTAAAGGGCTGGGGTTTTTTACATAAGCCTAGACAGACGTTTTCTAATGTGTTAATGGTCTTCAGGGAGGAAAAATGCAACAAAAGCAAACTAGAAAACCCACAGGCATTGCTGTGGTTTGTGTGCCTTAAAAGAGCTTTTAACGCTGTTCTTATTTTGCGTGAATTTTACTTTGTCTTTGATCTTTAAAATATCCTGGTCTTTCCCCAGTGACAAGTTATTTATCTGTCCCATCCTTCAGTTATATCTCTCCCCTCCAGGCTGGTGGTTTTCTCCTTATTTACTTATTAACACTGAGTGCATAGCGATCTAGTTGTGTCAGGAGAGCTCCGCAAATCCTCTCCCACCTATCATCACAGGTGCAAGCCATCTTTCTAGAGTGCTGAGGGGAAGCAGCAGAGAAGCACCATGTGACTTCTGTTTGAGAAATTGCTGAGATGAGTTTTACTTGAGGGCACAAAATCCCTGTGTTCTGTATATAAGGAGGAAACATTGATTGATGGGATCGTGATTCTATCTGAAGCTTAGTGTAGCTACACACGCATCGGAGTTTTGCTGTGATGAGTCTTGATGGGACTGCTGCTCTGTAACTTGCTTTGTTCTCAGGATAAACCAGAAACACTCTTGCCAGGCAAAATATTCAACAGCCAGTACATTAGAAGAGGAAAAAATGATGTGACCCTATCTAGGGTGTATGAAGCCATTAACATCTGTTGTTTTCCCTGTTATAAATTACTTAAGACTATTGTAATGAACCAGAAGAAGATGAAGTAGTGCAGGCTGTATGTGCAACATGGGCAAGTGAGCACTGCTTCCACAACGCCAAGTCCTAAACTTAGCATTAAAGTAAAAAGTTGTTATTAATTTTATAAATTCTTTTTGTAGGAAAAATGGAAAATATTCTGTATTAGATTGCTACTGGCTAATCTAGTAAAAGACATGTCCAGTTTGCAAACTTCTGGATAACAAAAGGAGGACTTACATGTTACTTATCTTACTACTTCTATACTTCATATGTACACCACCAGCTGAGTATATGTGCTTGCTGAATCTCTTTATGTTACTGATCTAAATTTTTTCTTGTCATTTTCCATCTCAGTTCATAAGCAAGAATTCTTTATTTAAGTCTCAGCTTGTTTCTGTTTTTAAACAAAGCTGGCATTAATCATCAGCAAAAATGCCATGTGCCAAATTTCATGTCTTGCACTTTTACAGCTTGTGCTGCTGTCTTGCCTTGTTTAGAGTTTTGTTTTCCACATGTAGAGCAGGTGGCATTCAGCCTCCAGGCTTTCTTGAGTCCAAAAAAATAGGAACTTTGACTTTTGGTTACAGGTAGATCTTGGACAAATACAGGTTAAAATTTCAGGTGCTTTGCTAGTGGATTTACTTGTGAAAAAGAGTTACAATTCAAATAATTTATAATTGGAAGAACTGCATACTATATATTATAAAGCACTGCTCTAGTAACTTCTGCTAAAATGGTTATAAACACACTGGATCTACCTATAGTGTTAGAAGATATAACATGTATCTCAGACAGAATTGGTTTGAAGATCTCCACAGTATGCCCTTTGGAAATGTAGCCTGCTTAGCAGATACTGCAGTTTTCTGTTCCCAGACTATTAGTAGCTGTTAAGATCATCTTTTCCCTCTGTGGAAGCCTCAAGTGACACGGCATCCTGACAACAGCAAAAAGGACAAAGCTTGAAAATTGCTGACTGAAAGCTGATACTGGCTTGGAGCACTGTACCCAGGAGTATATTTAGCACACGCACAATTCCTGTAAGCCAAAATATCATTATAAAGTAAAAGAGAGTGCACTGCAATAGCTTAGTATCAGATCTTAAGCTTTATGCCTCTAAATGTCTTTGAAAAAGAAGAATACATGTCCTTATTAGATCTACATGCTTTGCTTTGCCCTGGAAGCTAGTCTGGAAGTGCACTGTAGTAGCTCTGTTTCTTTAACAGTACATCACTTCTGATTTCACATCCCCTGCAGAAAGAGAGGGACATAAGGATGAAGTGTTTGTACTTAGGAGTGCTCCTCTCTGCTGCCTTCACTACAAACAGTTAAATCTGCTCCTGCCGTTCCAGTTACTCCCAGAGACAGAGTTTTTCCATCCCCAGCTCCACTTTGCGTGGAGAAACTGGTCTTTATAATTCTTCTGTGTAGGCTTTCTTTTACCTTTCCATCCTTCTGAATGAGACTGAGCCTTGGTGGGCAATTTGCCCATGTTCTTCTCATTTTAATGTTCTAATCTTCATGATGTGGCAGAGGATGGATGAAAACAGCAGTGCAGTATAACTCACTAATGGAAGAACCGCTAACCTAATGCCTCACAAAATATTTACATGCTCAGTTTTGACAAGGTACTAGACATAGACACACAGAGTCTCAGTTCTAGTGAAAGGCTTTTCCAATATCTGTGTACTCAAAAGAATAAGAAAGAAAAGATAAATTGAGGTCCGAAAGAGGTTAAGAACTCAAAGCTAAGCTGTAAGGTGGAAGGAAAATACTGAGGTTAATTTATCATCAGCAAGCCCTTACCGTGGGCTAGATCCTTAGTTCATATAACTGATGAAGATTTGGTCCATGGAATTTGATTCACCTGACAGGGGTGTTTTAGAAGGCATTGCAAGTGATCCCGGTCTGCCTTTGGTGTGGATGTGGGCTTCTCTTACACAGATTTCATAGAGCAGGACATGCCTGGCAGACTCATGTGGCTGAGTTACCATTTTCACCCAGAGAGAACATTTTCAGAGCAAGTGAAAGGATTTGCATTATTTCTTTCCCTCATTCATATTCAGACATTGAAAGTGAGAGATTTAACAGCTTGAGAGTTAACAGCTTTGAACTTTGAAAGAATAATTTAATTCTCCTGGGAGGACTTATACATTTAATTTCTGCTCTTATGAGAAAGACTGGTTTTAATTTAGTGAAGGGTTATTATTAAGAATCTTCCTCATGAAATTACATTTTATTTTATAATGCCATTGGTGATGGTAGTGTAAGGTGGCAACTATTTTTACCTCTTATTTTTACTTTCACAATCTCAACATTTTGGTAAATATAATGTCCCTTTCACCTTTAGACAAATTAGCAGAGAATGACAATGCTTTGCAATAATATTAAAGATATTTGCACTTGATGGTTTTACCGGCTTCTTTAAAAAGAAGTCCAACATCTTTGAGAATTTCGATTATAAAGTTTAGCTCCTTCTCCATAGATGCAGCTGCCAAAAGTTGTTTGGATTCCATATTTATGTAGAATGCATCTTTATTGGCAAAGACCTATTTTAAAGACCTTCTCACATGCCAGTGAGAAGCAAAAGCCAAGTGAAGTGAGGAAGTGCAAGACATTTGCTGACTTCACATGACCTCAGGCCAGACAAGTGAGGACAGCCTGCTGATGTTTTGCAGAACTGACACCTTACAACTGCAGCAGCAGAGCAACAGAAATTTCATAGGCATGTCTTTTGTGTCTTAAACTTACCCTAATACTAGTTCTAGTATCTTAATTTCTTTAATTGTGTTTGATCAGTTTCCACTCCATGTGGCTGTGCTGAGATGAATCAGGGTGCTGATGTAGGAAAGGGCTTTTCAGCTTGAGTAAAGTATCCGGAAGGCAGAATTTGCAGCCAGGCTCAGGCGTGCGCTCCCAGATGGTCAGGCTTCTGGGGTCCTGCCTGAGGTTAGCACTTGTGCTTCACTGGAATTAATCATGAGGGTAGAAAGATTCATGTCCAAATCTGGATTTCTTCAGATTTTCAGTAGTTAAACTGGAGCAATATGTATCCCTTCTCCCCATTCTAAAATAAATACAAAGCAATGTTTCTACTTGTAAGTACAATAGTTCTCTTATGGTGCTTTCGGTGCTGGTAATATCATAAGGAGGCTTTTATTAATTCTTTGACAACACTCCAGGGGTTTGAAAAGTCTGACTCAGTTTGCTAGCAGAGAATCAGACAATGGAGATCTTAGTTTAGCATTTGCAGTCATCTAATTAGAGAATTAAATCAATATTTATGTTTTGTACTGTTTCTATAGGTCCTGTTCTAATGTTGCTCAAATTTCTTCCTGGCAGGTGTGATTATTGTCCCAAGTGCTGGTGTTGGTATTGTCCTAGGTGGCTACATTATAAAAAAACTGAAACTCGGTGCAAGAGAGTCTGCAAAGTTGGCTATGATCTGCAGTGGTGTATCTCTGCTGTGCTTTTCAACTCTCTTCATTGTTGGATGTGAAAGCATTAATCTAGGGGGAATAAATATACCTTACACAACTGGGTAAGTATCTGGGAATTATCTGTGGCAAAACCAGCTTTTTTTCAATAAGCCTGATAAAGAAATATAAAAAATGCGGATGGCTCATGTGCTGAAGAAGCCACATGTTCAAATGAGAATTTGGTGAGTATTGTGATATAAACACATGCTGTCACTATGTGGCCCTTCAGGTTTACATCTAGTTTATAATGAAGCTTATGTAATAACTCACCTTTTTGAGGGATGGGAAAATGCATTAGAATGGACTTCAGTGATTTTTACAGGAAAATAAGAAGGGTATCCTCTGTAGATTGCTCAGAGTTTCAAAATGTTTTCTTTTCTGCTCATGAAAATTGTGAAAATGGTAAAGGGATTATAAAGACTATTCCTGATTAGGTTTGTTTATTATCACCATAATAATGTCTTAGGTTTACAGTCGCTACTTGAGAGGCATCACTTGGGCATGTGCTATCGACATGGTGTGTGCTGCTTCTGAACCCGTTGCTAGTTGTATAAATGCCCTCCAGCGCTTGCTGGATCATCATCAAGACAGTTACTAGATTGTAACCTTTAAAGATATATTGAGAATGAAGAAGGCTGTTATGAAGAGGAAGGTGTGGATGTAGGAAGGTGTTGAGAGGGAGAGATTTAGTCTGTGACATTAAGAAACACATGGAAGGGCATTTAAAAAAAATGAGGGGTATTTGGAAGGAAGACAGTGTGGTAAAAGTTGTGAGAAGGTGTTTCACTAGAAGGTAATTTCTCAGAAGCCTGATCATGAGCTTCTGTTTTCTGTCTTGTTTTGTACATTAACTTTTCCCCAAAATTGCCTTCTTCATGTAGCTTAAACACAAGAACAGAGTATGAATTTGAAGAGTGCGAACTTATCTGAAGCAATGTTTTTCCCTTTGCTTTTACATCTTAGCCAACGTCTGCCTTTTATTTATGGCCAGGTGCCGAGTATTGGATCCATTTGAATAGCTTGCTTTTAAGGCTCAGCTCTGGACTCTTACCTCAAACCATTTTGAGGTTTGGAAGACAGTGTAGAAGAAGTGCAGAGCAGGAAAAGAGATGAACAAATGGTAAAAAAAGAACTGCAGTGGGGCAGTGAGCAAGCCAACTGAAAAACAAGGAGGAAAAATGGGAAGGAAGGGAGAAAGAAAATAGGCACTGTTTACACACAGAATATTTTGCATTGCGTGTTGCTGGGTGTTACTACATTGCTGTCAAACCCTAATCCTAGAGTAAGGAAAACCAGCAACTGCAAGTCATGAGCTGATGGAAAACTGGTTTACTCCTTTTTATTCTTAATACCTGGAGTTAAAGCTTGGTGCTGAGGGGCTGACTGTAGAGGGAAGTAGCATGGTGATATATCCTCCTCTGAGCATAGTGGGCTGAAGAAGGAGAGAACAGGGATGGGAAGGGGATGGATTTGATTTGTTGTCCACCTTTGATTTTCCACCTTCTACAGATGTTTGTGACAGCCTGTAGGTGTGGATGAAGAAACAAAAATTATTAGGAATTAAAACATAAATTTCAGATAGCGGCTATTTGAACTGTGTGCCAAGTCAGAATGTCCCTGGCTGGCTAATGAGAAGGCTCTAGTTTTCTGTTTGTGAAAAAGTGCTGTTTAATTTAAGTCTGTTTCTAAATTGAAGACAAGGCAAACTATTGCTATGTAATACGTACCCTTCACACCGGAATTGTAAGAGTATCTAGGTTTTTTTTGCAGTAAGTAAAAACATTTGCAGTAAATACATAGCATGAATTGAAATAGGCATCTGTTCACAGCTGTTCTGAAAGTCTGCAGTAGCATTACTTCTTTAGCACTTTCATCTAATTGTTCTTATTGAGAAAACAGGAGAGATATGGTAACAGCAAAATTCTCGGAAGTGTTATATCATCTCTTTGAAATCAGTATAAAAATCGGTGTGCTTAGACTGTAATGTCATCAGAAACTGAGCATTACCAGCATGTTATACAGCATGGTTCAGGAGTTTGCAGCCCCAGCCCTGTATGACTTTTTTTAATGCAGAGATCATATCCAAATGTATTATCAAAATGATAATAAAGAAGCAGCACTACATGTAATTTAATCTTTAATATCTGACATGATAAACATTCTCTTAATCCTCATGGTCAATCGTTTGATAGTTCAAATCATTTACTTGGAAGGCAACTCTAACTCAGACATCAAAGAATGTTATTATTCGTGTAACAAAAAAGCATGCTTTCATTTTGAGATTTAATAAAACACATACTTCATTCTGTAGGTCCAATGCACTGCAGCGTATGGACATCAAAGCCACTTCAACAGGTTAAATTGGATAGGAGAAGCAGTACAGCTATTTGGTTCAGAGTAAGTGTCTTGAGTGATGTATAGCCTTGACATGGCTATGCTGGGTCTGATGCCTGAGCTACCTGCTCAGCTGCACTGAGCAGTACGGACATACCCTGCAGGAGGATCTTTTCTGGACAAACACATTCAGTTCTGCTGTTCTTTTCTTTTACATTTAAAAAGTAGTTTTTTTTCTTTGAAGAACTGAGCTGTAAACTGATACAGAGGAGAAGGATAAGCTGGGTTTTAGGTGACGTAGAATATGTGCATACCAGTACTCAGCAAAATAGGCAAAGATATTTCATAATTCAGTAGGTTTCATAACTCAGTATTTTTCTAACTGAACCAGCTGCGAGGAAGTGGATGGGACCTGGAGGCATGCACAGGTTAGAATACATTTGCAGGGATTTTCTGCTGTTTTATGTTGGGCACAAGCAGTTTTGCCATTGCTGGTGTGTTATCAGCAGTTCTGTTATCAGGAAGCATTTTAGAATCCGTTGTTCCATGCTCCAGCCTTGTCTCTGAAGGCATGTTTGACATTTAAACAGTGTAAGGAGCCTTATGTCAAGCCACGATGTGGCATCCCTTCTCTTGCACCATCAACCAACATTCAACTGGGAAGTCCCGAATCCGTGAATTGTCTCCTTGTCCAGACAGCTTTTGAATATCTCCAAGGATGGAGACTCCACAGCCTCTCTGGACAGCCTGTGTCAGCGCTCGGTCACCCTCACAGTGAAAAAGTGTTTCCTGATGTTCAGAGGGAACCTCCTGTGTTTCAGTGTGTGCCCATTGCCTCTGGTCCTGGCACTGGGCACCACTGGAAAGAGCCTGGCTCTGTCTGCTTTGCACCCTCCCTTCGGGTATTGATGAGATCCCCTGAGCCTTCTCTTCTGGCTGGACAGTCCCAGCTCTCTCAGCCTTTCCTCAGAGGAGAGATGCTCCAGTCCCTTCAGCACCTCAGTGGCCCTTTGCTGGATTCTCTCCAATGAGTCCATGTCTCTCTTTTACTGGGGAGCCCAGAACTGGTCCTGGCACTGCAGGTGGGCCCTCATCAGTGCTAGATAAGGGGCAAATAGCAGAGATCAGCTGCTTTGTTTGTTTGTAGACCTGTATCTTCCATGTTTTGTGATATAAGGCAACTAGAACGGTCCATGGGGAGGTTACTCATAGTGACAGATTCCTGGATTAGTTTGGTTCCGTCTCTCACATTTCTGGCATGTAATGAATTGAAACAAACCCTTTTTGTTTGCTTTCTGTTGTTTTGGTGCAATTAAGGTTTAGTTAAAGCGTGCAGTTGACTTACTGAGGCACTTCACATGAAAAAAAAAATTCCTCCTCATGTACCACTAGTTTGGGTTTGTGTTATTCTTGTATCTCTTTCAGTCCAATCAGCCACTTGGATCCCTTGGCTTGAAAGCAGTGACTAATTGGATCAGAACAATAACAACAAAGAGGGAATCCAGCTATCACAGTGAGAGGGTCCCTTGTTTGACAGCTACACAAAATTGCATCATTGCTGCAATTCCAGCTGCTTGCCAACAAGGAGACTGCAGATCTCTGCCATCCAGAATGTCCTTCAGTAGCAAACCAAAAATATTGTTATCAAATTAAGGTAGTCCTTTTTATCATATAGCCCAATATTAAGGTTATAGAAATTATGTGGTGAGGAGTTATTTCCTTTTCTTTGTATTTCCTTGGTCCTGTAGGTTACTACAGCGATCTAAATAAATATGAATGAAATCATGTGCAAACTAATTCTTTGCTTAGATGTTACCAAAATATAGTCAGGCACTGGTTTTTTTTTTTGTTTGGTTGGTTTTGTTTTTTGTTATTGTTTTTTGTTTAAATGCATTTAATTTAGATTGTAGTCTCGTGGGGAGAGGGTCCACCCTTTTTTTCCCAATATGTATGCATTGACTGCCAGCTCAATGAGATTTCAGTCCAAGCCCAGGTATCTGAAATAACAGGTCACAGCTCTGAAAACTCCAGGTAATAAATATTGCCTTATACTTTCCTTTTTCTTACTTCACTCCTATACCACAAGCCTTCCACAGAGAATTAGTTGGAGAGAAGAACAAGATTTAGAAAAAACATGTTAGGAACTAGAGTCCCTTTTATCATTAGTCACATCTAATAAAGGTCTCCTCTTTATTAGCTTTACCAGCATGTGTTATGGAGACACAGAACAGTCTCCCTGAGAAGTGAACAAATGCAATTTGTCAGATGTGATTCTGGGTTTTGTCCCAGCACACATGTTTAGCAAACTTGCAGTTGAATCTTCTTAATGAAAGAAGCAGCGTCATTCTTTGTAATTGAAAGAAATGCAGTTGTTTGGGGCTGGTTTCTGTTAGTATGCTCGTGCATGATGAGTGTCCTTGGCAGCTCAGGTGCAGCAGTGCTGCAACTTGGCAGCATCTGTACCTGCTGAAACAAACGGGGCTGCTGTTTTTCAGACATCCCATGGGTCTATAGCAGTGGGTCCACTGAAACTAAGCTGCTTTTCCCACAGACCAGCTCATGAGCAGGACTTACTAGGTTCAGTGCAATTTTCTTAAGACCCTGTTTTTTCTGACTGATGCAGGTAAATCTGTGATATGCTGTGCAATGCTCTGTTTTCCTTTGTGGAGAGTAGGCAACCTCCCAGTGCCAGGAGGCAGGATTAGTAGAGTACTTTGGTTCAGCTTGC